GAAAGGAGAAGAAGAAGACAAAGGAAAATGACAACCAACTGGCCAATCTTACCGGAGAAGAAGATGATGATGTGGTTCCGCGTATGACAATACGTAGGCATTGTCTAAATAAGGCCAAGAGAAGTCCGATTTTGCAATTAGTCTAGTAACACAATGGCCGCCTCACCTGGCCACTGCTGTGCAAACGCCACACCGAGTACCGCTACCGATGCCCCCGAGCAAAAGCCGCTGCGATCTCCGGTAGCTGTACCCAGGCATCAGCCCCTCTGCGGGTGACCTTATGGTGGCGGGGCACATGCGCTGCGCGTCTCTCGGGATCGTCATTCAGCTGCTCACATGCAACTCAATTCCGCAAACGACTTTTAGTTCTTGGAGATGCATCCTTTAACACTGCTGCAGGCCTCCGTTTCTTAGGCATCTCTCCAGAGCATCCCATCGTATATTCTGTTCTTTTTTCTTTCTTTCGTTTCTCTTCTTTTACCCTCCTCACGGCCTTGTACAGACGGCGAGCGAATAGGCCGCTTGAGGTTCTGCTGTCGCAAAGCTAGCGGTTACGTCAACGACGATCACGATATATCGACCAAGAAAACACTCGCATCATGACGTCTGGCCAGGCTTCTCAGGGTGGCTCTGCCCGACCATCCTCACCGACCGGGAGCCTCTACGCCATGAGCGATGATGAAGAGGGTGGTTATGAGACCATCACTCACACGGAATCCGGGAGAGGAGTGAAGCTGCTGTTTTCGAAGAGCAAGGTGCGTTGATGCGCTCGGCTGCGATGCTTTTTACAATAACTAACATTTGGCTAGGTCTACGTCCATCCGACACCATCCGCAAAAGACAACATCTGTGGCTATATAGCTCTCCTACAGCAGAAGGGACCGAGGCGTGATCGCCCCTCTACGTCATCTTCGACAAATAGTATCGCATCGTCGGATCTTCTTCTTGCTTGGGTTCCCGAATCATCGCTCGGTGACTCGGCGAGCATCTATGTCAAAGTGGACCTCTCCGATGCCGACTCTCCTCCAAAACAGTCATACCTTGTCCCTCCGCCTCCTACCGTGACCTCCCACGGCAGTTCCGTTGGCGGCTACGCATTTGCCATCCCCGTCAGCGCTATATATTCTCTGATGGTCCGACCACCGAGCCTGGGTTGGTGGTATGGCTCTATCATCATAAACTCTCGCGGAGGCGACAGCTTTCCCGCCCTGTTCTTTCATGATGACGAGTGCCAAAGCACCATTCTTCAGAAGAAGAAGCTGGCTCGGGACAACTTCGATCCTTTTGGCGAGAGCGGCCAGATGTTTTGGGGTGCAGATGAAGTCCTGCGATGGCTGAGGAGATATATCAAGATTGAGAGGTCCGGGGCGGAGCCTAACATTTATCTCATTGAGCCGAGTAAAGAAGATCTGGAAAGCTTTGGCGCTAAAATGGCAACGACAAAAGCACAAGGAAAGGCCAAGGCCGGGAGCTCAAGCAACAAAGATGCTCAGATGGATCCCTTTATCAAATTTGTCAAGGAGACAGGCTGGAGCCTCATGGAGCAGTTCAGCAAAGTAACCACTTTGACCAGGAGAGCGGCGCATGACTTGTCAGAGAATCCAAACCTGCCCCCTCAAATGCGAAGGTTGCTCAAAAACCCTGAGGTTCAAACACTCCAAGACGAGTTTGACAGCGCAAGGATATATCTTGCCAGGTGGGCGATGGGTATGGCAGAGCAGAGTGAGCGTGATCATCGACAGAGAATCTGGACTGTTCGAGATGTTATGGAGCTTGAAGATACCGATGTCGGAGAATTTGAGCTTCTTGATGGATCAAACTCTATGTCGTTTGAAGACAGAAAACAGCCTCTCTCGATAGAGGAGTGGGATGCATTTTTCGACCCCGAGACTGGGCGACTATCCATCTCTGTTGATGAAGTCAAAGAGCGCATCTTTCACGGCGGACTAGACGCCGATGACGGAGTCAGGAAAGAAGCTTGGCTCTTTTTGTTGGGCGTGTACGAGTGGTACAGCACGCTTGATGAAAGAAAGGCTACTATCGCCTCCTTGAGAGACCAGTACTACAAGCTCAAGCAATCTTGGTGGAATCGACTAGAGGGAGAGGGAGGAGAGGGAGAGGACGGCGAATGGTGGCGTGAACAACGCGGGCGTATCGGTAAGCAACAGCTTCGACCAGCAGTATTGTTACTACCGTGCTAACGATTGCATTACAGAGAAGGATGTCCATCGAACTGATCGAAACGTCGCCATCTTCCATGGAGAAGATACTCCTCATCCGGATCCAAACTCACCGTTTGCTGAAGTTGGCACCAATGTTCACCTAGAGCAGATGAAGGAGATGCTTCTGACATACAACGAGTACAACAAGGAGCTCGGCTATGTCCAAGGCATGTCGGATCTCTTGGCACCAATCTATGCCGTGGTCCAAGATGATGCGGTGGCCTTTTGGGCGTTTCAGATGTTCATGGATCGCATGGAGCGCAATTTCTTGCGAGATCAGTCAGGTATGAGAGGCCAGCTGCTGGCCTTGGACCAACTTGTTCACTTCATGGACCCTAAGCTCTGGGATCATCTGCAAAAGACTGACAGCACCAACTTCTTCTTTTTCTTCCGCATGATACTGGTGTGGTACAAGCGAGAATTTGAGTGGCTGGACGTGCTTAAGCTTTGGGAGTGCCTGTGGACGGATTATTACACCTCAAGCTTCCACCTCTTCATTGCCTTGGCTATCCTAGAAAAGCACAGGGATGTTATCATGACACATCTGCAAGCGTTTGATGAGGTTCTTAAATATGGTGAGCTGCTAAAATCTCTACCCTCGTTATATAACAAATTTGCTGACATCTTATCTAGTGAACGAGCTGTCTGGTACTATTGACCTCGAATCAGCGCTGATTCGCGCTGAGGTTCTTTTCCGCCGATTCCAGCGACTGGTTGAGGCAGTCGACAAGAAACACAACTTCCCGCCTCCAAGAACAGAAAGCCCAAGTCAATCAAACACCAACGCAGCTAAACAACCTCCCTCAAAGGCCAAGGCTAATACGGCGCCGTCAAGGCAAGAAAGGGTGATAACCCCCGAGCTGCGAAAGCTACTTAGCAAAAAAATCGATTTCTTGGAGAAGAAGCCCAAGGCGGCTGTGAAGACCGATGGACCGGCTGATTCGAAATGAGAAGACAATGTTATTTCTACGAAGATGGTCATGTTTGCTTGCCCATTCGTTTCATTTTTTAATGTTTCATCATTGGATATGCATTTTTCTATCTGTTGTCTGTTTCTCATCCTTGAGGTCATGGAGAATCCTCAGAAGTAGGGCGTTATTGTTTTGTTTTGCTGGTACTTGGCGTACACGCAGCGATGAATTGAAATATTTTTATTGACATGAAGCCGGAGACCTTCAATTTCCTTTGATACAAGTGATTTGCAACTCACTTTCTTTAGGCACTTTCTATCTACTCTCTATATTTGCTCAAGTCTTCTTCAGTGACAGTTCCGATGACCGCACCCAAATTACGTTCAACCTCTTCATCACTCTGCAAGCCTTTGTCGAAAAGGGCCTTCATACGAGCAGCAGAGGGCCACTTGGTAGATTCCCCAAAAAGGGCCATTCCAGCAGCGAAATCGACTTGGCTCAGCATCCCCCAGCGAGAATCCACGACACGCTTCGTCTCGATCAGGAGCTGAGCGTCGAAACTTGCGATTCGACGAGCAAACTTGTCGACGAAGTCCTCGAACTCGGCGTCTGGAATGGCGCGGTTGATCCATCCGTACAGCTCCGCCGTGGTAGCATTATAGTCGTCTGAGCTGAGGAGGATCTCTAGTGCTCTTGCGCGGCCGACTCTTCGTGGAAGCAACTCGAAGGCTCCGCCACCGGGGATGATGCCCGCCCCGACTTCTGGCTGACAAAAGACTGCCTTCTCGCGGCTGGCGAAGCGTAAGTCGCACGCAGAAGAGAAGTCGGCGCCGAACCCGCGCGCATAACCCCTGATTGCCGCGATGCTAAGTACAGGAAGGCTCGCGATGCGGACGGCGAGGTTGGCCCATGTGGCGACGAAGCCTGTGCCTGGACCTTGAGGTTCTTCAGCGACGCGCAGGATGTCGGCGTGGGCGATGAAGAAGTCTGGGCTGGAGGAGTCGAAGACGATGACGCGGACGGACTTGTCCGATTCGAGGTCTTCGACGAGCTTCTTGAGGGCGACGTGGCCTTCTGGACCGAAGAGGTTGAGGGTGCCGTTGTTGAAGGTTGCGCGCCAGTAGGCGGGGGTGATTTTGTTGACGATGATGGCTTCGGTGGAGGACATGGCTGAGATTTCTTTTTGGGATTTCTTTTCTAGTTTGCTAGTTTGAATTGGGTTTCACACTAATGAGTCTATGTGGATGGTTGACGATTGAGGTTCTCTTGTTCCTTTTATAAGAGCTTCAAAGGGGCTTGTTTCCATCACATCGACATTGATTATTCTAACAAGAGCATCTCTTTTTCTACTGTCTCCGCTCAATGTTGAGTTCCTTTGATTAAGACGACTAAACATCTAAAACTGAATCGAACTCCATCAAAAGTATCAAAATGTGGGAGTTTCTCTTCTCTGTCAATATGTCAACGCCGAGGCTGGAATCTGGCTCGATTAGGAAAGTGCATGGATGGGCACGATAGTCGACGAACAAAGTTACCCACTAACAAAACCCATCAACAAAGGGTTCACGCTTAATAAATCACATCGATTCGCAGGGCAAAAGCTCTTCTGAATTACAAATTCGGGTCAGAAATCTGTCCGCGGCGTTACGTACAAAACCCGATACATACATGTCGCGAGAGGAAGACTCGGGAATATCTCAAGGAAATAGGCATTAATAGGCATTATACATTGCGAGCTTCGGCTGGAATCGACAAAAAGCACGCAACTCATGACTAGCTACATGAAAGAAAAGAATATACACCACACACTCCTAGACCGAGACGTTATACATAATATTAAAAAGAGACAAAGCACATCCTTCCCCCTTCATCTATATCCTCGTGGACCGCTGGGCAGCCCTTTTCTTCGTACTCCATTCGCAGCTCCTCCTCCTCCTCCTCCTCCTCCTCCTCCTGAGTAGGGGCCGCCGTCACTCGACCAAGGAGCGTTTGCTCCAACAAATGGCTGACCACCACCACCACCGCTTCCTCTGGAATTATCGTAAGATCCTCCTGGCGCAAACCTGTCCTCATAACTGCCCTGAGATTGGTGGCCCCCTGAACCTCCGCCCGGAGGTGGTTGGAACGGCCCATTACCGTTGCTAGAGGACGGGCTCGTGGTACGGGTTCCCCAAAGTCGCTGTTTCAAACGATCCTGCGCCGATCCAGCGGGAGCCGGCCCAGGCCCAGAATAGCTCCCCGCACGAGGTGCCTGCCCCCCCCTCCCGAGCAGCTCGTCTCTCGAAGACGGTCCGGGCTGTGTCGTCGCCGGTCGTCCAGCCCGCAAGCTCTGCGGAATCTGCGGCTGCGGAGGCTGCGCAGGGCCGTTGTCCCATAGACTGCTGAGCCCCCCAGCGCCGGGCTGTTGAGGCCCTCCAAGCCCACCGTAGCGCGAGCCGACCTGCGACTGGGCATATACGGCCTGGGTCATCTGCGGCGGCGGTGCCTTTGGGTCAGGGGGCAGCCAGTTGGGAAACGGGCGGCCCTTTTCGGTGTAGTAGTTGCGCAGGACGCGGCAGACGTGGGTGTCGTCTTCGGTGTCGCCATCGGCCTCGCTGGAAAGGAGGGTAGACCGGAGGTTTGAGATTTGGGACGAGGTTTTGGTGACGAGGTTGGAGTACCAGGAACTCATGGCGACGGTGGCATGTGGCTCGCGTGATGCTGTGGGAACAAAAGGCGTGGTATCGTATCGGCAAAGGCTCACTCAGAGCGTAGTGGCGTGAGAGAGAGCTGTTCAAAAATAAGTTCGCAGAGAGGAAATCCGAGCGATGTCGCCCAACTGTGTTTCTTTTATCGAGGAGCCGTCGTGCGGTGATTGACGTGGCTGGGCGTTGAGGCTCAAGCTCTGGCCATCTGGCGGTGATGCTTCACCTGCAGATCTCCTGTTGCGCAGTCCGTCTGTTGCGGCGGTGAGAAAGGCGAGAGAGTGCTGCTGCTTCGTGATTTCGGTATGTCCGGCGTCTGCGAGAAGAAACAGAAATGACAGCAGCCAAGAGCAAGAGCAGAGCGCCGTTCGCCCGGAGCAAAGATGCCAAAACGTCCTGGAGAGAAGCCAAAGAACGGCAAAGTACGAGGAGGGAAAGGAGCAAAGGAGGTTGGCGGCTAGACGTGGGGTTGAAGATCAATGGAATCAATGCCTGTAACTCGCTTCGTTTCCAGCGCTGCTGCTAGTGGGCGGTGCACCAGCTGCGAAGCTTTTTAGTGCCTTCTGTAGCCGTTTTAGGTGGTGGGGGCCCTGCTAAAACGGGCTGCGGATGCGTGCATTGGCTCGTGGTGGGCGTCACAACGCATTCGGTGTTTTGCTCCCGTCCGTTCTGAAACTCTTCCGTGAAACAGCATTACAAGTCGACATATTGATTGACCTCATACCGATGCATCCTATATATACCTTTCGCATATAAATCTAACAAATCCTCATCCATACAGAAATGACCAAAGACCCCCTTTTATTAACTGTTATCCCGACGCCGTATGCCATGAAGCCCACGCTGGGACTAATAAGCTGATACAAACTCGAAAACCCATCCATTTTAGACACCTCGTGCAATGTCGTGCTCCCGATCAGGCCGGCACACAATTCGCTCTCTGTTTGCCATGTTGCTGAATTATGAATAAATCTCTTCCGTGTTGACATCCACTTTACCAAGCCAAGTCGTTGGTCAGCGCCAGCTTCTCCTTCTCCTGCTGCTTGGGTCGCTTGCTCTTCATCTTGGTGACCTTGCCACGCTTGCGCTTGCTGCCGGCCTTTTCCGCCTCGGACTCGTCGCTGTCTTCTTCCTCTTCCTCTTCCTCCTCGCTCTCGAGCCAGTCCTCAAGGTCTTCGAGCTCGTCTTCGCTCTCGTCGAGGTCGGAGACGTATTCAATGGCGGCCTCGGCGTCTTCGTCTTCGCTTGCAGCCTCTCCATCAAGTTCCTCCTCATCATCAGACTCGATACCCTTGTCCATGTCCTTGTCTCGTTCACCCTCGCCACCCTTCTCCATGGCATTCAGCACCTTCTTCCAGATGTCCTCGCTGACGTTGAGAGGCTGGTCGCCGTAAGCGCCTTGCCTCAGACGCTCAAGCAGCTCTCTCTCGATCGTCCTCTCCAGCTTGGCGGCTGCCTCAGCCTTGCGCTCTCTCGTGGCCTCGCGGTGTCTGACTTTGGGGGCCAGCTTAGGAACCAGCTTCTCGCCCAGACGTTCGTCCTCAGCGGCAATCCTACGCATGCGGATCTGCACCTGCGTCAGGCGGGTGAGTCGCTGCTTGCACTTGTGGATCAAGAACTTGGGCCAGTAGATGAGCCTCTCGTCGATTTGTTCCAGGGCCTTGGTGTAGTTATTTGACAACTTGATGCGCTCCCACATCTTGGAAGGCAGATGCGCTCGCTCGACAGTCTTCATGTAGAGGTATAGCGTATCCTTGGTAGGGTGTTGCCGAATGGTGGCATACCGCGAATTGGCGAGAGGACATGACTGGCGATTGCAGAGTCCAGTGACGTTGTATTCATTGCGGCAGAAGTTTTGCTGCTTTTCCGTTCTGGGTATTTGGGTTAGTAACCATGTAAACAATGCTCAATTGCGCTCAAAATAACAGAAATCCTAATGATGTGATGATGATTGTTTGCTGGCAAGACTTACTTTAATTTGAAAGCGCAAAACTGCTGGTTGATGATTTGCCACACAATCTCGTCAGACGCCATCTTGTCTGAATTCCTCACAAGAGGACCCTTTGCCCAAGTTGATGAGAAGGAACAAGAGGAAGAGAGAAGAAGGAAAATCCAGCTGTTGATATGAAAAGACTTGCCAATGCAGAAAAAAAAAGTTCCTGGCGGGGCGGATCTTTCTCCAGATTCCCATAATTTTTTTTCCAAGCGTCGCAGCAAAAGCTCCTGACCGCCTTCCTAGTTGACACCCCTGCATCCCGGCTCCGGAACAACACTCGCCCCGGCGATCCGTGGCTGGTGCTACCGCTGACCTGCGTCACTCGCTGCATCAGCCGCCTTTCTCCATCATTATCGCCTCAACACCAACCAGAACGACTTCCGACGCTTTGACGACAGCCCGCGCCTCAGCTCTCCTTGATTGTCCGCCTCTTTTCATCTTCGGCGCTCCTTCGCAGATTCTTCGCATCTTCATTAGCTCTCAACTCCCCCCCTCCGCGGGGCTGCCGTCCACCTGTTCCGAGCCCAATCTCACCTCATTACGACGACTTGCCGCCCATAGCACACGATCCTCAAAGAAAACATCTTCATCATGCCTACCGCCGGCCTTAAGACCATCATCGCCCTCTCCTTTGTCCTCGCCGTAGGATTCCTCCTCGTCATCCTCTCCTGCGCCCTGTACAAGGTCTACTACCCGCTCCTCGTCGTCGCCACCTACGTCCTCGCGCCGCTGCCGAACTGGATCTGCGGCCGATGCGCGAATCCGGATGACTTTGTCGAGAGCGGCGGTGCGGCGGTGCTCGACCTGGGAAGATTCTTCACCGGCTTCTTCGTTGTCATGGGCATTGGTATGTGCTGATATTCCCCGTGCCTCGTCTCCTTTGAAACCCCGTCAAGTGACAAAGGGGACATGCGATGAAATGGATACATAACTAACCGCTGTATGTGCTTCACAGCCCTCCCCGTTGTCCTCGCGCACTCCGATCTGATCCGAGTCGAAGCCATGATCATGTCCATTACCGGCGGCCTTCTGATCTACGGGACCATCATCAGCTTCGGCATGTTCTTCCAGGAGGAGCAGGAGTTTTAAAGAAAGAAACGGGAATTTTTATGACCTCATGTATGAAAAGCTGGGATGGGGGTCCGCAAGAGGGAGGAGTTCTTTTTTTATGCCTGCTGCGAAAAACGAAGAATGATCCAGCCTACTTTTGCTTGAGACGGTGCTTATCGACCTGGATGAGACCCGGGTCCTGTTGTACCATTAATTTTCTTTTGGGGGAAATTCGATACGAAGCATAAGCGGTCTTCAGGGTTACTGTCTGCGAATTCTGTTTTACCATGTCGTGTCTTGGATGGTTAGATGCGCGCTTGAAATTGAAACAAGAAAAAAATACCAATGTTTCTGTTATTTATAATGAGCTGTGTTTTTCCGTATATCCATCCATGTAAGTGAGTTAAGCGTCGCTCGAGCGCCGTCAGATCTACTAATGTATGTCATGTTGAACCATGTCCCCAAGAAAATCCAAATTCAAATGTAAACACCCGCTATGCGTACGTTGAAGTATCGTTGGCTTCCAAGGAATCCTATTCCAGAAGCCAAGCCCATCCCCTCCAAACCATCAGTACACCGTAAAGTCAAAAGAACAAAAGAAAACAAACAAAGACACTTTTATGCCACGTCTTTGAAAACGCCCAGCGGCCCACAGAGCTTCGTAAACATCTCCTCCGTCTCTCCTTCAGGCGTACTCAGAATCGTCACAGCTCCACCAGCCCCTATGCGCCAGACCTCCCTGGGCTGCGTCTCGCCCGGCCCTTCAGGGGGTGCCTTTTCGTCGTCCCAGCGGAACATTGTCCTAATGGTGACGCTCCAGTCGCCGTGGCCGCGAGCATCGAGGAACCCGACGACGCCAGAGTAGATGCTGCGCTCAGAGGGCTCGATGGTGCGCAAGATCTCGCAGCTGCGCTTCTTGGGCGCGCCGGTCATGCTTCCAGGGGGCAGGGCGGCGGCGAGGACATCCAGGCCGTTGGGGCCGTGGGGGGGAAGCTGTCCGTTGACAACGGTGATCATCTGGAAGACGCTCGAGTATTCCTCCACCTTGAGGAGATCCGGGACGGTGACGCTGCGGGCTCCACAAACGCCGTAGAGGTCATGCCGGACCAGGTCCACAATCATGAGGTTCTCCGCCTCTTCTTTGGGGATGTGGAGCAGCTTTTCGGCCTGTGCTAGTGTCGAGACGGCCTCGGACTTGCGGACTGTGCCTTTCATGGGACGCATGGAGCAGAGACCCTTTGCGTCGTGGGCTAGGAACCGCTCCGGCGAGCTGCTGAGGATGGTGGCCCCGGCGAGGCGGATGAAAGAGCCAAAGGGGGCTGGCTGGCGGGCTCGGAGAGTTCGATAGATTTGCCAGGGGGTGCCGTGTCTGGACGCTTCATCGCTCGGCCACGAAGCAGATGCTCCATTGATCGTGCCGTTGGTCAAGGATGGCTGTAGATGACGCGGCACATCGTTTCCAGGAGGTCGAGTCATGGTCGTTTGTGCCGTAAGGCATAGTTCGTACGACTGGCCTTCAGCAATGGCCTCTTGACACTGGCGAACGTCGTCGTCGTACTTTGCCGGCTTCGGCGTCTTGAAACGTAGTCTACCAGCCGGCTCTTGGATGCTCTTCAGCAACAGCTCATTAGGCTGTTTCTTCGCTGCGACGAGTTTGTACTCTTCAGTTCCGTAGCCCGGCTGTTGCCATGCCCGGGAACTCTGCAGCTTTGCCACGACCTCGTCGATCCACGTCTGAACATTCGAATCCGGTGCCGTCAGAGCTTGGACATATGCCACTCCGGCTTGGTGATCGAGAACCAGACTCTTGGTGATCCAGGCATAACAGAGATCTGGCCTGCGGTGGCCCCTGTTTTTGGAAACAGACTCCGGGCTCAAGGTGCTTAGTCCCATTTCATAAGTGACAAAGCCCATGAAGCCACCCTTGAATGCTGGCTCCTGGCCTCCTTCTTCAGCCACCTTTCTTTGCTCCCAATATTCGGCGATGACATTCCAAACGTCGTAGGCGCCATGCTCAGCGCTGCTGTCGATTTCTATCCTCTGGCACACATCTTCCTGGTCCCCGTATCCAGGCTGGCGTAAAGTCACCCAGTCGTCTCCAACATGGTATTCGAAGCGCAGAGCCCGGTCAACCTCAAGGGCAATAATCGAGCTGCGTGCCAAGGGATCACCACTGATAGTGCTCGACGAGTCCAGCATGATAGAATCGACGCCTCCCACGCCCAGAAGCTCCGCAACGTCAGCGGCATCTACGCCGTCGGGGAGCTTGATCCGACTGCAAGAATAGATGGGTGCTGCTCTTGTGGCCGCCAGGCCAGATTGCATATCCCGCCACCATTTCCTGTTTGCGAGGTGGCTCTCGGCTGCGATACTCCGCTCGACAATCATAGATGGCGCCAGGCTGTCGGCAATGTTTTCCAAGTCCATTGGCCTAATCTGTCGTCCCGTTGATTCGTTCCACTTCAGAGCCTGGCTGAACCAGTTCTTCAGCACCCCATGCGCCCCAGGATCCGTACACACAGACTCGGGATGATACTGGACCCCCCAGAAGGGCAATCTGGAATGTCTCACTCCCATCAAGATCCTCTCGGGCTCGCTTCCATCCTCGCTCTCCTCCATCGTCCACGCCAACGGAACAAGTTCAGGCGCCACCTTTGGAGGCAACCACATGTCGGTCTCCCACGATTCCTGCGAGACCTGATCTTGTCCCACATCGGCACACAGGCTATGGTACAGAGTTGCCTTAAACTCCGGCACGCCCGCAAAGATGTCTCCCGACTGATGCTCGATTGGCCTCACCATGCCGTGCAATCCCCTCCTCAACCTCCGAATCCCGCCACCAAAGTGCGCAACCAGGCTCTGAAAGCCTAGACAAATGCCCAGCACCGGAACAGCGTCACGCAGCTCCCACAACAGACGGAAAGCCCCAACGTCGGCCTCGCACAACGGCGACCCGGGCCCGGGCCCGCAAACCACGGCATCGAAGCTCGGCAGCCGGTCCAGGAACTCCTCCGGCGTCCAGTCGAGACTTGGGTCCGCATGCAGCGTCTTCAGGTCCATGTGCAGCACGTGCACCAAGACATCATCGCCAAGTGCCTCCTTGAGCAGCGACACGATGTTGTTGGTGAAGGAGTCGTAAGCATCCAGAAACAGAATTCGGCGACATTGGCGGTCTCGGGATACCGGGTTTACCGCCGGCACTGAAGAAGACTGCAGCTCAAGAAGAGGCATGTTTGCAAATGGGAATTTGCCAGTCTCGAGCTTTGGCCCGTCAAATTGTCTCACTTACGATTCATGAAAGACTTTATGACGGGATCAATGCAAACAAGATGGAGTGAAACAGAAATGTCGAGGTGATGAGAAAAATCGGCAGCGCCTCCGAGAAAGGAATCGGAAATGCCGCGAAAAGCCGGGTCTTTTTTTTTTTTCCAAAGTCCCCAATCTTATCTTTTTCGGATACTAATCGAACTAGCAGGTGAAATTGCGCCGAAGGACTGGCGTGAGATGAGATGACATGTGCAATTGCAATTGGCTATTTTGCAGCGAGTGCCGGGATCTGACTAACATGTGCAAGCCGGCCGTTTTGTAGCGAGGACCGGAGTGGGCAAGGAAGACCCTGGAAGTGAAGAGAGAAATTGGAACAAACATGAAGTGAAAGAAAATTTTGGCAGAAGTTTTAGGTGGCTTACAGTAGTCTATATGCCTAACAATGGCGGGCTGTTGAGCCACCCAGCATTATTCTAGGTGCCTGTGGCGTTCTTGAAAGGACAAAGTTGAAGTTTTGTTCTAGCGTCAAATTGCAGATGAAAAAGAGCTCGGCTTAAGAGTTTACAACTCTTCAGCTTCAATTGCTCTGCAGAGCCAAGTAATGATGGAATGATGGACGAACCCCTTGGTACTGGCCACAAATACCTGCATAATGCAAGAAACAAGAAATAAAAGAGAAACATGAGGGTATACAGATTTATGCATTGATATACACAAAGCAGCTGCAATACCCGCGTCACCTTCACCATCGTTCCAAGCCACCAACCACGTCGAATATTAACTCATGTCATTTCTACTATTGCTAGTATTAACCTATACTATGCGAGGATACCAAAAATCGTCTACATATATATGCAGCGGCTCTATTCATCGCTATCGTCATCGCTATCAATCGCTGTCTTTCACCGTCAGTATACATGGTCGTCGTGAATGCCACATCCTCCGCTCCTTCATGCCAATCGCCGCATCCTCTCTCGTCTGGGTGTTGTCCGACTGCGGCCGTTCCTTGGGCTTCTCGCTGCCATCTTCCATCACCTGCACTTCCTCAACCGACGCCGTAAGCTCAAACTCTCCTCTGCAGAGCGCCGTCACTCCAATGACAAAGTCTGTGCTGGCGCCACCCTGGAGCTCCGGTAGAAGTTGC